GATCTCCTTGTAAACCTACATCTCGTGCAGGTGCGCGCCTAGGTGGGAAGAAATGAAAGGCCGAAGAACGAGATGTAAGGAGGCTGATATGTTCGCGGTGCAAAATTACAAATGGATCGGCGGGCGAACCGGTAAGGACCAGTGCAGCAATTTGTATTTGTGGGCCATGAGAAAGTCACAAGCACGTCTTTTTTTCCCTTCGGGTGATATTCGTCTCCTTTACACTTTCGCGGTCGCACGATATTATATGTGCTACGTAGTCCCGTGGCGCAGCATTCTCGGGTTCACGCTATCACGTGTCTTTTACGATAAGAGCGAGAAATTCGTCCTTAGGCGCCGGAGAAACGATCAAGTCTCGCGAGAGCGTGTAGTAGTGTGACGTAGTAAAATTTTAGCAGAGAAACACTATCGATCGATGCTAAAAATATCCCACGAGGTCGGTCTTACGAAAGAGACACCATCTTGCGAATCGTCCGTTGAGCATCGTCTATCGTAAATCGGACATTACGGCATCTCGTCCAGCGGCAATGTGCGACTTGGCATGACGTCGATAGTCTGCAGCTGTTTCGATTAAGCTTCTACGGAATCAGGAAGCGCCGCTGAGCGCGCGTACGCGTACGTATGAAACGATGCAGTGACCCTTCATATTGGATCATACAACGCGGATTCGCAGAGACAGGAATAATGGCCACGAGATCTCGCCACGGGAGATAAGATGGTAATTTCGTTGGTCGCGTTTGAAAAAAAATCGTCATTTTTTTTCATCTTTAGGGGACCGCAAAGAGTCGCTTCCGTGGAGAGATATTTCGATCTCTATTCGGAGATTATTGGAGATGCACGCGTTTTCTGGGACATCGCGCGCGATCTTGTCCGCTGCTTCGCTTGAATTCCAAGATACCAGGCTCGCTCGAGCCCGACAATTTCGATTTCTTCGGAGCGGATTAGCAATTTAATAGGCTGCTTGGAATTTACACTCTGTCGGAGCGACACTCTTATAAGATTATAAGCTGGTTATATCATCCTGTCGTCATAGTTATCGTTACGGACGGGTAAGTTATTGACTCCGATCGAGTCAGCTTTCGAGGAGTTTGTATGACCCAGCATTTTATGCTGTTTAGAAAGAGAAATTAGATGTGTCGCGCAAATTCCTCGAATTTCACAATTCGAAAGCCGATAGATGTTTGACGAAGGTGAATTTTTTTTTTTTTTTAGAAATCAACATTTTTCAAACGAAATACGATTGTGTGGATTTGAGATGAATTTGTGTAAGGCTACTATATCGCGCTTCATCGTTCCTACGGTCGTTTCTTGTCGAGCACGTCGTGTTTTCTAGCAGATTACGAAGAACAGGTGGAGCCGATGGAAGGCATTTTGCGCTCCCTGCTCCTTTAGGACGGACGGGGCGGATTTCGTGCGGCGGCGGAGGTGAAATGAGGCAGGCACCAGGCAAGGCCAAGGTAAAGGTAAAAGGTAAAGGAGGGGCACGGGGAATGCGGACTGGAAGAGAAACTGAGCCGTGCAAAAGTCAACGAACCGAAATCGGCGTGGATATACGCGATAACAGACGCGTAATCCACTGACGGTTCCCTCCGTAAATTTCAATAATTATGATCCGCGCTGTACGCTCTTAATCGCGAGGACGTGTATTTCAGAGCGACGTCGATGTTAAGCGCTTCCTCCCGAAGTTTTCGCGGCGGCAGCAAATCCGCCTCGGCAGTTACGGATTTGCCTCGTACCAGAGAGAGAGAGAGAGAGAGAGTATGTGTGTGTGTGTTTACTGCACGCATCCATACATATTTATTTACATTGCAAACAGCGATAAATAATCGGAGGAGAGTAATTTTCATCATAGACCGACTGGAATATAATCCAGAAGAGTTACGTGTCGAATGTACACGCTTGAAGTTTCACGGCCGTGTGTGAATAGATTCCTAATTTGAATCTCGCTAATGCGACAGTCCGATTTATATCTCTTCATTGTCGTAAACCATCACGAAAACTCGACGGACGGACGGACGATCGTATTTATGTAACGTACGCGTAGATACACGTCATAGAGAGTCTCGCGGCGGGTTTATGCCGCGTATGGTTTATCGCCGGGGCAAACGACCGGCGCATAACTTATAGCGCGCGAGCGCGCTCGCTCGCTCGCTCGCCGAGGCTTCGTTGTCTGCGAATAAACGGAGTTAACGGTTGATTGCCTCGTACACAAGATGCAGAATCAGTTTTAAGTTTCGCTTTGCGCCTGCTTTGCGCGCGCGGCGACCGTCACGCCACGCGCGAATCCCGCCTTCTTAAAATAATATCGCAAGTCACACCGTGTGACGTGGCACTCGTATTAAATAACATTCATACCGTCGTAATGGTATCAGTGTGTGAAATGTGAAAGGCGTATTTTGATAAAAATCCCGACATCTCGGGAGGACTCGCGCGATCGCTCGTTAAATTCCCCTGCGAAGGCCGTCCCTCCTGAACACGTCTCGCGGAATACCGACGACTGGACAAAAATTCGAGGTGTTTTGTATAGAAAAGCACGTCTCGTCCTGGAATAAAAGTTACTTCCACGATGGTAGGTTTTTTTTCCCTCTCCACGCAATGCGTCATCATGAATAATGCATCGATACGACGCGCGGTACCATCAGAATGCCGTGGGTTTTGTGGGTGAAACAACGAATTCGGATGGGGACTCTGTCACGGACAACGGAAAAAGAAATTCCGACCAAATGTGCTTTCTCAGAAAGGGAGGTAGCGATACGCGCGTGCCAACTAGGTTTGCCGTATATATCGTTTTAATCCACACGTAGAAATTTGCATAAAGGCTGCCTTTCGGCTGGCCATTTCTTCCCGCGCTGCAAGCTACGCGCGTTGCAAAGTGAAAGCTCCGCCGGCGAAGCTGGTTTTGCGTGCCAAGTACAGTCGGTGAAACGCATAAACCGCTCTCTGTGGCCCTTCACCGCGAAAAACATACGAATACAACAGGTGCGCTACGGAGCTGCTCCCTCTGTCAATGTCCCGGCTTATTTCATAAACTTTCAAGCATTTGGAGAAGGAACTTACAATAGTAGAAGATATATACATATATATAATAAAAATGGTTGGTAAAAAAAAAATATATATATATATATTGCTCGAGAGGAAATAATTATTAAAAATCTCAAGCATAATTTCAACAAGTCTAATTGGAACATTTTTATGTCACTTTACACTTTATATTGTTTGGACATTGTCAAAAGTACTTGTCAGTGAAAGAAGCACACTACTTTTGATTTTGTTCCCGATGCATACTCGCGATTCAGGTACGGAGAAATCGTATCAGTTACAATGTATATGTGTGCGTGCACGCGTGCAGGTTAGTATTCTGCGCGTGTATAAGTTAGTATTCCGAGACGCAGCACCTGTGCGAGAGAGAATACGATCTGCCGCGTCGAGCTTTGGAAAGCGTCTCGGTATGTTTCCGCGGGCGAAACTACCGAAAGACTAATACGCGTGTGACCCCGTTGACCCCCACTTTGCGAGTTCGCTTCCTCTCTTCCTGTTTTTCATCCGATGTTAAGCGGGTATAACATCTTCTCAACCCGTCACATCCGCGATCTGATCGATGTCAAACAGAATACCTTCGTGCCTTGCTATCGATCAAGATCTCTTAAATATATGTCGAGAAAAATTCCTTATCCTTATCTCTCTCCGTGTGTGTGTGTGTGTGTGTGTATTTGTAAGAAAAAAATTAGAATAAAAATTATAAAGTTGGAATCGAAACGAAGAAATGAGCCTTTTGACTACAATGCAAATTCAAATATGTTATTTAAACTGAGACTTTTCTTACACATTTCTTGCCGTTTTAAATCGTGTCATTTAACACGATTGAACACGTTAACTTATAGCTTAACGCGATTAAACGTTTAAATGACATAAAACGGCAAAAAACATGTAAAAAAGTTTATTAAATGTGTTATTTTTAGACGTTTATTTTAGACGTTTGATAAAAATAACACACTTGGGTTTGCGGTGTTAGGAGAGAATTTTTGGCTGTTTCATAGCGTCATATACGTTGTTTGGAAACAAGCGTTCTCAATAACGCGAAATTTTATCCTAGATATGTTCTTAAGAGTTCTGAAAGTTCGTCTAGTCATGCCTTGAGGAATGGATGCAGCAGGATCGAGCTGTGAGCGATGATGTTCGATCGTCTTCGTGACGAGGACAATTATCGACTTGCGGAAACCGTCGACCGCGATGATTTGCACAACGTCCGTAGAAGTGCGGTCGTTATTTTCTCCTCTGAATTCCATTAACGATTTCTTAGCTAGCGAAAGTGCGTTGACATATCGCGCCACGATGCACGGAAGCGCTTCTCCGCGCGAACTTTGCGCACATCATAAAACAACCGCGTCGAACGATGTAGTCGGAAAAATTCGCGGTTGAATAACTATTCGCGCCTACGTACGTTGTAAAACTTTACACGCTCTCCTCGGGCAGGAAAAATTCTATTAGAAAGCAAATATATTATACCCTGATATTTTCGGAGAAAAAATTGCGCGCGTGCAGGACGTCACGATTTCGTGAATAATAAGACGATGAAATTACGAGGTGCACGCATACGCGCTTTCTAACAACCCTCGGGTGTTACATAGCTTGTTAACATTCTATTCTTCATCACAGGGAGACACTTTCGACAGAGATACTTAATAAAGATTATATATTAATCTCCGCTGTGAAACTCGCTTCATCGAAATCCTCCTCCTGAGAAATAACTTCAGTCACTCCATCGTGTTCCCGCACTTTTTTCCTAGCCACCCAGTATACTCGACGCAAGCAATATACTTCGCGTCCCTTGATCAATTTCAATGCGCTAACGAACTTTCCCGCAATAAATATCATTTGTTGTGGTTTTTATGAATGATTAATGACGTTTTCACTATTTCTAACAGCGCGTTTACTTTCTACCGCTGCTTTCAGTCGCCAAAACAAAAGTGCGAGCGCTTTTGAAAAAGATTGTTACTCACCTGGCTTTGACCGACTCGATAGGATGCGGGGTCTACGTCGACGGTGAGTAACATATCTTCGACGGCGCGACGCTCGTCGGTCACGGGACTCCCGGGGCGAGCGTTCACGTCGCTCGATAGCAATCCAAATCGACGTCTGAATTCACCAAGTGCCATGTGTTTCGGGAATCCAACTTTGTGTAAACGCACGGCATCTATTATCTGGCTTCCGCGAATCTATATAAAAATATATGTCACACTTGGTATCAAATCTTTATTCATTACATAATCTATAGGAATCTTTGTATTATAATCTGTATGAAACTTTGTATACGATATGAACTTCATATGAAAAGTATATTACACTCTGTATCGCGTCCCGCTGCAAATTCAAATATGTTATTTTAACTGAAGTTTTTCTCACACATTTCTTGCCATTTTAAATCGCGTCATTTAACACAACTGGACGTGTTAATTTATAACGTTTTAAATGACGTAACCTAAAACGGCAAGAAATATGTAAAAGAAGCTTCAGTTAAACGTGTCATTTTTAAACGTTTTATGCGTGTAAAAATAACACACTTGGATTTGCAGTGCTAATGAGGGGAAAAAGAAGAAGAAAGTCAAAAGTGAAGAAAATTAATGAAACTTTGTGGAAAAATTACATGCCTGTGTATCTTCACTAGTATGAAATCGAGGTTTTTTTCTTCTTTGACACTTCTAAAGAATCGAAAATTTACCTGTGATCGAAGGAGAGGGACGTTAATGACGCTGTCCTCGCTCTGATTCGACTTCACGGAGAGGAGGCTCTTGTTGTCGGTACAACCCGCATTGTGTTGCGGCAGAAGGCAGTGGACGAACTTCACTCGAGTTCTTCGCAGTGTCTCTACGAGGCCATCCTGGAAACGATTAACGCTCGTGCTTTATTCCGTTCGATGTCGAGGTTACGCGCCGAGATAAATGAAGAATCGCGGTATTGTCCTTACTAGATAGAGACCGAGAAGAAGGAGGAACAATAACAGCAGAAGGTGACACCAAAACACCGTTACGCATATTTCACTGTACATTTTCAGCCCGGCGAGAGTATCTCGTAGGGCGGAGGTCGATCCGCCCCGAGCTAACGGTACGCTCGTATGACCAATGAATGGTTTAACGATAACACTTGCGGAATTCGCGATAATGGCTTGATCTTTGACACCGATGACCAATGATGACGCGCACCGACAAAAATAGACTACAACCTATCCGAAGATGCTACGATATTCGCGACAAACGAGACGCGAAACAATCAAACCGGCGTGTCGATGAAAACGAAAATCGAAACGCTGTGAGAGAGAGAGAGAGAGAGAGTTGAAAAATCGTCGAATAAGAATAAAGGGAGCAGGAAGGAAATCGAACTTACAACGGTGAATTTCACTTGCAAGCAGATATTCTTCCTCTTTACGGCCGTGAATGTCCTTCGTATGCTCGAGGCTCGTCTTAACGACTGCGAACCTTCGATTCCCGGTAAGGAACTGCATAACGCACCAGAAACACCAGCGCCCCGAGCACTTACGAACAACATGCTCACATGTTCTCTAAAAGATCGTTATAATAGCAAGGTTATTGATGCAGCTAATTTTTTCCACCAACCAGTCTATCGAAGAAAGTCCGCGTTACCTCGTGCTTTCTTGTAGTATCGTAATGGCACTTTTGGCGACTGGATTCTCGCGCGTGGCTTTCAGCCAACCGGTCGCGGTGTAAAGCACCGGATTCGTGCCCAGTAAATGTTGCAGGACGAATTGATTGTTGCCCGGTGCCTTTCGCAGAAGCATTTGATGATCTGCAACAAGAGCGTATATCGCGTCTTTTTATTTTCTAGATTTTCTTCGCAAATTTGAAATGGAGATTTCATGATTAATACGAAAGAACGACGCGAGTGTCGTTGTTGAGAAAATAATTATCTACCTCGGTCTCCATAATGAGAGAACAGACGGTCCAAGAAAGTTTCGTCGCTGCCTCCGGGGCACACGGTCTCCTCGTCCAACAGCCAGAGTAATCCTTTCCGTTCCATCTGTCTACCGCCGCTAAGGTCGCTTTGACTAGTTCGTAACATCGTTGCACTTTGCGAACTTCCACGATCCAGAAGGGACACTAAACCCTGAGGCGATCCGATACCTTCTTCGTCGTAATCATCCTCGTAATCCACGTCGATGCCTTCTTGGACATATCTGATAAATTTTCACGAGCGGAATATCCACGATTATTTTCACACATCGGCGCGAATTATACAAATATACTGTACACGTTGTATTTTTAAAGAACTTTTTACATTTCTCATCAGCTGAATGAAATGGTGACTTGAATAATGCGGGATAAATACTTCTATACATGAAGGACAATCAGATATTTTAGGTTTTCACGGTCTGGAAAGGAATGATGAAAAGGAGGAGAGAAATGCTTAATTTGGTTTCCGAGTTAGTTCCTTCATGAATTTGTTTCCAACGTTTTTCGCGAACACTTCGGAAGGAGTTTCGGGACGTTCCTTTTTCTGAAGAAGCGAGTTAAAACGTTCGAAACGTCGGAAACTAATCCATCAAGGACACGATGCTGACTCGTAAGGCAAATTAAGCATGTAGAAAAATCGATTAGAGAGATTTTTTAATCAAGCCTTTAATATTTCGTACCTATCCTTCGGGGCTACTAAAGTAGTGTGGTGAAACAGTAACTGCAGGCGTTCCTGCAGATAATTGTGACAAAGATCTTCGAATGATGCACCTGTTTGCCGACCGCACGAGGCAGGGTTTTGAAAACCTGGCGAGTCACACAGCAACAGAGATGAGACTGTATGTACAGCGGATGATATGGATCTAAAAAATAAGAAATACATTACTGCACAATAAAAGACGCCGTTACTATAAATATAATCTGAGAAGAGTCAACAGTTTTATAAAGTGTTATGACGTATCTGTCAACTATCCATTACTTTCCGAGGGGAAAGAAATTCACCAATCTTTTATTACTTTTTCATATCATTCGAATCGAGAAATAAGCGGCGATTGCGACTGAATCGAATCGACCCTTGAAAAATGAAGATATACAAGAAGCTATCGAGCCAATAGCTCAACGAGCCTCAGAAAAACAATGATCCATCTAAGTTATTTACTTGTTGATAAGAGCCGCAACGCAATGGAAGACTTCCGAGTAGAGTCCGACCAGAAGGCCCTCCAAGGCATCGAGACCCGTGACGTCCTTGCCCTGTTCGGTCGGGCTGGGCGTTCGCAAAGCCGGTCTCGGAGTGCTCGGTGTCCCGGCACCGCCCCCGTTAGTGGAGAACACCACTCTGCTCAGTTCCTCGACGGTGGTACCTAGCAAGTTAGCGGCTTTCTCCGCGCATTCCACCCTCGCGAATTGCCACCTGCTCTGAGAGCTGGTGCCGGCTTTCACGGCGCCGGCACAGCTCAAGTGATAAATGCCGGCCAAAACCAGCCAAATGACTTTCTCGTCGGCCTCGGAGATGCCGAGTATCCTAAACGCGGCGACAATACGATTGAACTCGACCATAGCTCGTTGCTTATCCTCGTGCTTCTGCAAGGGGGTCACGAAAGGATTGTTTTCAGCGACTAGATTCGTGAGGTGCAACTCTTTTCGCAGAGCACCCTCTGCGCCCGCCAACAGACGGTAAACGGCGTGAAAGGTCGGGTCCGCGTTCGCTCTTCGACCTATTCGCGATTTCTCCAGGAGCAGTACCTTGCGAAGAGAAAGAATCACGTTATCACTCACTTTGTGGGTTACAGAAAAGGATGTAGATACGCGGTAAAAACTTTTGTGTCGAATTTAACACATTTCACGTGTCTCGAATGATCTCCGCTCAAATTTTCCTCTTAATTTAACACGATGTGAATATATTGAAAAATAATACAAATATTATGCCGAAAATTAACACAAAATTAATACGTTAATTGACACTGAAGTATAAAATGCGTTATTTTGATATTTACACATGTTGAATATTGACACAACATAAAATGTTGAAATAACATAAACATAATATACTGAATATTGACGTACGGTGTGTTAAAAATGCTAACTCAAGAATTTAAACAAGGATCGATTTTAACACAAATACAAAATGTTGTTTATTGTGTAGGGTAGACGGATGAAAATATGTTTCGTTTTCCCTCACTTGTAAAGACGCCGACGCAATTTGACCCGACTGGTCGAAGTCGAGGCTGAAGAGCTGCGTGAAACGCGTCGCATTCGAATTCATGTGCGTCCTGCTGTTCCCAAAGGCCTCGAGGACAGTGAAGAGCGCGTTTAGTTTCTCGATGGTCAGGATCTGCAGCAAGAAGAGAATCGTAGTATCTCACGTAGTATTCGGGCAATCTAATCGGAATAAATGTACGCCAATACGCCGCAGCGTCGAAGTATAACGACGTTACGACTCACCTTGTTGACAGTGCCCGCGGCTAGCACGAGGTAATGAAGAGCGTGTTTGAAGTTCGTAGTTTTCCCCGCTCCGCTACGTCCGAGGAAAACAAGAGAATGGTCTCTGCGTGTTGCTAGCATTCCTCTGTAAGCCGACTGCGCTATGGCGTAAATATGCGGCGGCATGTCTTCGCTTTTGCAACCGCGGAACATGTGCGCGACCTGGAGGAAAGAGCAAAGCGATCTCAATTTCGACATAGGGCACAGTAACGACAAATAAATGTAACGCAATTTATCACACAATTAGTTACAATTAGGAGACGTAAGTATAAATACAAAATTCGCCGAATTATTTTATCTCGCACGATGGTATTCCGAAGAGTGTGATGTCGAAACATTTCAATTTAATCTAGTGTGAATTAAATTCTTGTATCGAGAATAAATACATGCGGTACATATATATATATATATATATATAAGATTCAAGTAAACTCTCAAGAACCGGCTTGCCTTTTCCGAATAAATTGCCAATGGTGCAACCGGATTGATAACGATCATGCTATCTCCCGCGTACGTATGTATTAAGTTACTGGCGTAACGTTGCCGCAACGTATGAAGAACGGACGATTCATTAAGGAATCGTAACTGGGAGAGCTCCTCCGCCTTGTCGAACTGTGGTGGGTTGGCCTGGAGACATAAAAACAATGATCGAGGCGTGATCGAATTAGTCGTTTGATCAGTCGTTAATTAAGCGACTCAAAGATAAGGAATGCCTATATGCGACTGTCCGAGTATTAATTATGGCGTGCAATTACAATACCTTCTCGACATCTTCCTCGTCTACGAGCAATTCCTCTCCAGATGTGGTCAATCGGATCCTCAATTTTCCGGTATCGGGATCGGCGGAACCGCACCTCGTGGCGGGTGTGAAGCCTCCGCGATGCAGTAACCAGACCTTCTCGGAAGTCAGCCATGCTTGCTCTTGCGCCAGATGCTCTTCTGATCGCGCCTATGTAATATCACAAACAAAAGTATAATACAGGCGGACGAGCCGTCGATGCGTTCTCACGAAAGCTTAGGGAACGATGGGAGGATGCTTCTCGTCGAATCAGGATTCAACCTTGCTCCGACAAAAATGAAAGAATTTCGAATTCCCCATTAACGTCCTAATTAAAGAAAGAAAAAAAAAACAGGCATGAGACGATTAATTTTATTGGAAGAAAGAGAAAAAAAGGTCCGACGAGTTGCATTAATTGGATTATTCGTGGCCTGCATAATATCACAAATAAGCGAATAATCGGTACACGCGCGGATGAGCCGTTAATGCGTCGTCGTAAAAGCATAAGGGATGACGGGAGGATGCTTCTCGTTGAATCGATACTCGTCCTTACTCCGACAAAAACAAAAGAACCAGTCCCCGGACCAATGTTCCAATTAAGAACAAAAATCGAGTGTGTCGACGATTAATGTTATCAGAGGAAGGAGGTGAAGAGATCTGAGGAGTTGCGTTAACTGAATTATTCGCAGCGTGCATCTTCGCAATCACACAAATCCAATTGAATCCGCCGTGGAACGTCTGCGAAGATACGTCCCTGTAAATTAAATTCTCCGTTCTTATATCCAACGAACGATACCGCGGCGCCTGCTGCACGACCTAGCGAGGACAGCGCATAAATATCTACGCGACATAAAATTGAATCGGCAACATCCTCGAGGCATCGCTACTGCCGGCGGTCAGTCGATGAATCGTTATGAAACATCTTATATTGCGTGGCCGCGACGCGTTACGACTCCGGACGAGCATTCGCGTATCATTAAGTGACTACTCATTAACATCTAAATGGTATTCGCTTGATCCTTTCTATTTCCATCTTCTCTCGTTCGTATCCTTCTGTGCCTCTCGAGGATGGTATGATTATTATCACGGAGAAATAAGAAACGAGCGCTTTATCGATTTGTTACTCGTGCCGCGGAACGGCAAGCTAATGATAATATCAGCGATCTCGTCGCTGAAATATCCGAGAATCGAGTATATAGCACGATTAATTATTCATAATTATGAGGGAGATATCGATCACGGCTGTATTTGAAGCTTCGTAGCTCGCGTTTACCGGTTAGCGCATTATTAAATCCGCGGGAACGAAAGCGCGCTAAATGTATTCCGCACTCTCGTTCTCCTCTTAGACCCGTGAATCAGCGTGTCGGTGCAGCTGCGAGCTCTCGCGTATCGATTTCCGCATCGAGCAACCGCGGCGCGATGACTCGTCGCTCGTACTCGGTGGAAACCGAGTAAAGACGACGGACAGTGAATTTCCTGGTAATAAATTACCATGATATCAGGAGTTAGGGCTCCATTGGTAGCGCACAACGCGCCATTGTTTCGCGAGCAAACGCGGCGAACGCCGCTCTCTCGGCGGCCTAAACGAGAGGATTGTTCGATTATTAGCGAGTTTGCCCTTTAAACGAGTTTCATGCGCTCTCACGCGACGACAATTTCCCTGAAATTTCCTGGGCTCTCCTGTACGCCGAACGTCCGCTAAATTACACGAGACACCTTTGTCCGTTCCGTCGAGATTGATGGGTAAAAGCGAATCTCCCTATTCACGTTGTTATTTCCGATTCTCTGCCATTTTCACGAAATCGGAAATCGCGTCTCCGACGGCGATTGATTCGGGGAGCGGCCCGAACGAGACTTCCGGTCGCCGAAACGTACCTCGTCGATTTGCGGCGACACTCTATTTTCCAGAAGAACCTCCAGACGCTTCATGCACTCTCCCTCGTCCCTCACACTTTCCTCGCCACCTTTCACACTCCCCATCACGCCATCCGTCTTTCCCTTTCCACCTATTTTCCGCCTTATCTTCCTAGCCAGAGCCAATTCGACCAGCTCTTCCCACTCGATAATATCCTGAATCGGTTTCGAGCATCTCTGGTGGCACACACGGCTCCTTCTTGACATTTTCTTCGGGCTGCCGACGGTCCATCCGTTCTTGAAGCCGTTGAACATCCGCAGCCCATTGTCCGGGTTCGGTATTCTCTGTTCTATCTCCGCCGTGATTCGGTGCCACTTCCGTTCCTTCGGCGTCCTGATGACGTTACTGTCGTCCCAGCCCTCCTCCATCCTTTTGATCCTGTCGTCGATGCATCCCACACGCAGAGTGTCCGCCCAGCTCTCCTTCCTGACGCTCTTGCTGCCTCGCGGTAGAGGCGAACAGTAATTACCCCCATGAGATCCTTTCATTCTCTCTTTGGCATCGGCTCGATGATCCGCGAAGCCGCGGCTCGAGCTGATGGACGGTGATCGGTGATTCTCCGCGGCCACCGAGCCACCGTTCTGCCCGATCTCGGACGAGTGCATGCTATCGCTGTCGCTGCATTCCCACGAGCTCGTGCTATTTCTGCTGTGTTTCCTGTCGAGTCCGCCGGGAACGGCGTTGCCAGGGACGCAGGACTCGCGCTGCTGCTTCGGGGGAGGCCGCACCGGCGACCTCGGGGAGGATTTCCGCGAGGACAAGGTGGACGCGACGCGACAGTTGTTCTGCTTAGCTATGCCGCTGCCGTGGGCCTTGCCTCTGCAAGATCTGTGAAGGAGACGATGCGCACCGAGCGACACCTTGTCGACCTCGTCCTTGCTTCGCGGCATCTTCGCCGACCCTGAGTCCTTCGAGATCACTTCCGGCTTTCTCGTGTTTTCTCTCGCTGTTCTCTCGCGCCGCCGATCCCACTCTTCCGGCTAAACGCCGGCCAAGTTTCCTCGAGCAGGCTTCGTCAAGTCTACATCTGCGAGTCTTCCGCTAACCTTCGTTCCCGCAGTCACTCGAATCTCCTCCAAGTTCAGAACGATCGACCGGAGAAAGAGCGAAGCTACTCTTTGCACATCACGCGTCTACTCATTTCTTCCCTTTTTCCGAGGATCACTTGCTTCACACTCGCGATTTTCCGTTCGAATCCGCCGGGGAAACCGAGTTATCGGGCGACACACCGCCGGTCATTATCGTCGAACTCGATCGTGTCGAGCGCACACTATAATCGATGTATCATGGTGGCAATGAATCCGTCGCCGGTGCGTTTCCTCTTCTCGATTTTCACGGAGCGCCTCAGCGTGCTGCTCGCATCCGCGGGAACCGACTTCCTCCGCGAGTTCCTCTCATGGCCCGGGACGACGGTCACGAGGGCAGGACTCGATCACGAGGAGCATCACGGGTCTCCCGAGTCTCGACTGAAGCAACGCTGGTGCTCCGAGACAGAGACAGGTCGTCGTGGAGAGCCGAGGAGAACGAGAGAGGCGTGTGCCCACGAGCCGCCCAGAGTTCTTTCTCCATCACGAAACGTAATTCTCCCGCTCGCTCCGCGTGTCTCCGTCCTCGTCGCTCGCTTCATCGCCCAGGTGTCCCCTCTCTGTCCCGATCGGTAGACCGTATGTACGCTCGTCCGTCCGTTCGGTTCGCGCGTTCATTCGTACGCACGTACGTACGTTCGGTTACGCGCAACGTCCTCTTCCTCCGCGATTTATACGGACGGCAAACAGTCGGCCAGTAGGCCGATTCGTTTCCGCGGCGATCGCGAGGCAATTATCGCGCGCGGTTCGCGAGGACTCGTCAATCGCACGAGCCCGGTAATCGGCCGGATTTGGACATGCTAACTGAACATACGGACGGTTCGTCGTGACGTAACCCCGTTAACGCTATTTTCGTGGGGTCCCGAGAATGAGAGAAGCCCATAATCCGCGCGATTCGCCTTAAACGCGAAATCCTACCTGGATCCCGTGTATGTGTGTGTACGTGTGTCGGGCGAATCACCGTTCGACGTCCCTTTGAATACTAATTTTATAACACTCGCTTCGTCCATACACACATAGACAGCTTATGCAAACCGAAAAGTATACCCCAACGATTTCGACGCATCTAAAGCAATCCGAAGCCAAACGGCCCACGAGCTTGCTTTTAGAGGCCGTAGTACTCCACCTATGGAAGGCTACGTGAGTGGCTGAGAGCCATTCCCGAGAAATACTTGACTCAATCATTCGCTTCATGTATAGCTATCGTTTATCGCGTTGCTCCCGCGTTCTCGAAAACTTCGAGCGAGAAATGGAGGAAACCGAAATGGGCGGCGGAGGAATGTTTATATATAGATTTTCGCAGGAAGGACACCACAAAGCTGGAGAGAATTCCTCGCTCGACGAGACTCTCGGTCTCTGGTATCGCATTTCGGAATCCGCAAAATTGGCGGGAATCCGCACGCGACGAGCCATTTAGTAGAGACGTACGTCATTTTCCGGTAGTTTTTCTTTTTCCACAACTCCTGACTTTTTAGATACCCGTGTTCGATACGAACACTCGAATCCGCCGAGTGCGATTCTCCGCGCGACTTTTGTCACACTTTGACTCGACGATTTTGCGCGGCCACATAAATCGCTGTGGGGAAAATATCGATTCTCCAAATCCGAAACATTCGCAGACTAGTCACGTGCGATGCCTTCGAACGACGGGTAGTGCGTGCGCCGCACGTGCTGAGAGAAGCGCATTCGTGAAGATTCGAGGGAGCGTGCTGCTATTTTAAGAAACTCGTAACACGCGAGATTGCGTCCAACCAAAGCAAGTTCCCCGGACGGACATTGCCACAAACATGCGTCTGTACCGGGCCGTAATATAACGGCGACGAGGGCCGGCGTTTAGCTCCTCGCAGCCTCGAATATATTTCCGCTGCGGCGCGAATCGGCCGGCAAAAATGCGAGAGATCCTTCGGCCGGTCGATCATTCGTTTTTAACGTATTAATAATATGCGATTCTGACCGCGTTGGTATGACGACGCGTCGGCCATAATTGATATAAGTCCGCGGCCTTTTCCGACGTTTCTCGCTCTTAACCGCTGAATTATCCTTGCGAAGCTTCTCGCAGGTCGGGAGAGCCGCTTGAAAGCGGACGGAGCCGATACCCCCTCCCCCCCAGCCCCCTCTGTTCAAGGATGGCGAGGCGTTCGACGACCGAATAATTAAGGACCGATTAGTTT